AAACATGCTCGCCCTTTCACCCGTGGAGCATTATAATGTGACGGTCAATCCCACTATTAATTGGTAAAAGAGTAGCCCAAGAGTTGGGGGTGGGTGGTAATGACTAGCTGCCTTCCTTCTAGTCTTACACTGCGAAATTAGGGACGGATAGTGCAGATAGCCCTCATGTAGCTTTGCGCGAAATTCAAAAACAAATCAAACAACCAAAGTATTTCTGTGTGGTTCAAACAACAGGTTTTTATATCCTCATTACAGTTTTGAATAATGCAATAGAGTCTTATCAAAATATTATTTCCACTACAGGAACAGGCACAGCTACTATTAAAGTAAAAGATATAAATGACATGCCTCCAAGGTTTACCAAAAGTATATGGAGCGTGAAGGTGGATGAGACTGATGGAGACAACATCCCCCAAGAGTCTATTCTTGTTGTATCTGTTAATGATAAAGATCTACTGGAAACCAATCGTTTCAGCTATGAAGTTCTTGAGACTGCTTTTGGTGCTGACAAGTTTACAATGCTTACAAATCCTGATGGTACTGGCTCATTGAAAATAACCAAGGTATTCTAATTGATACTTAATGAAAGTTTTACTTTGATATCACAAACAATTTTACTAGGATAAGTAGACTTACACTTATATGCAGTATATGAATTTTTGTATGTTACACAGGTTACACAGAAGTTATATTAATTTTAACATCTAAAAGAAAAAGTGTAAATGTACATCTTCTTACCTTTGACAATATTTTAAAGCAACTTTTCAAACAACAAGTTGAAAAACAAAAACACCATATGTAAAAGACAGAAAACTAAAACTCAAGTACAAAATACAAAGGGGGAAAGGTGAAAATTTACCTGAGTAAGAGGTATCTACAAAAGTTGGACCCACACAGCAGTAGGGATTCACCCTGTATTGTATCTTATATATATATATATTGTTACATGAGTAATTTTAACTCTAATCCTGTATTTTTATACACAAATATATTTTTCTAGATATTTACAAACTAGTAGGAAACTATTAACAAAAATATGTAGTTGTGGATCAGCAAAAATACAAGGATCTTCTTTAATGTTTTACTTGGGTTAACAGACTGTTTAATACCAAGATCCATCTATATATATCTGTAGATAATTGCAACCTTTACTTTTGTTTTTACAGACAGTTTACCTTAATATGAAAAAAAAATACTGGGATACCATCAAATATTTAACTCCTTTAAAAACAATAAATTTACTTTAAAATCTAAAGACATTTTGATATTTGATATTGACAGTCAATTATGAAAATGTTTACAAATGATTAAGTATCTATAGAGTTTACTTCTTTATCAAGAATTTGCTTAAATATCTTCAGATATTTAAATTGTATATCAGTAGATAGTTTTCTTCTGTTTCTGAAGTCTGCTAAAATATCTAGAGACATTTACTTGTGTATGTCTACAAATATGTTACTTCTATATCAACAATCTGCTTAAATATCTAGAGACATTTACATGTGTATGTCTACAAATATGTTAC